ACCTAATAGCGATGGCCTCCAACCTAATAGCGATGGCCTGCAACCTAATTGCGATGGCCTCCAACCTAATAGCGATGGCCTGCAACCTAATAGCGATGGCCTGCAACCTAGCGATGGCCTCCAACCTAATAGCGATGGCCTGCAACCTAATAGCGATGACATCCAACCTAATAGCGATGGCCTCCAACCTAATAGCGATGACATCCAACCTAATAGCGATGGCCTCCAACCTAATAGCGATGGCCTGCAACCTAGAAGCTTTCAAGTCGGTGCTACTCGTCTAGCAGTACTCCAGTACTGGAAAGTTCATGTACTGAGGCTCGAAGCTCCCTGCAGAGGGCGAAAGCAGCGAAGCATTGCTACCTCGAGTACAGGTGGGAAGAGTGGTGATGTCTAGTGTGGTGTGTTTCTTGTCCCTTTTTAGTTCTTTCTGTAGTTCTTAACATATCTTAACCGTAAGAGGGGGTAGGCCGCAGTAGGCTCAAGCAAGCTAGTGAGCTTAGGTAGCTACTACCCAGTACGCACGAAAGCTCAGGCTTCTTCAAGGATGCCCTGACACTATTCATGTCAAACAGTTCCTCTTACATTGGTGCGCGGTGAAGCCTAGGACACTATATACCTGTTTCAAGGAATGAATGTTTGTTTGCCTCCTGTGGAGCCCCAGCATGATGGCATTCTCCAGGTTTAGGCTGTTTCGGAGCAATTGGCCCCGCTTCAGGTGTCCCTGACCACTTGCAGCCTTACGCGTGCGAAGGAGGAGCTGTGCAAAGAACATGGCCTCAATCCTGCAACGTGTTTGCAAAACAATTGGCCAGAGGAGCTCGCAAAAGATCTTTACAAGCTTGAAGACTGTTTTGGCTTGTAAAAGCTAGCGAGATATTTGCTTCTACCCCAAGTCCCAAGTCGGTGGAGGATTGGACGCCTCGGAGACCTTCTTTCCCTAGAGCCTGGGTCAAGGCTCCTGCTTCATGAGGCATTGGTGCTGGAGCTGGTAAAGCGTGCGGGAGAAACCTCTTCAGAGCCGTCGGAAGGAGAGATGTCGACCTCCGCTATGTTGCCTCCTGGACAGCATGATTGCCATTTTGACTTCTTTCAGGAAAGAAGCGAATCCAGTTGCATGGAAAGCCTTGAGAGAATTTGCGTGGTTCACAATAGAAGCCCTCAAGCCCCTGTCACAACACGACTTGTTGAGGGTCTGTGATCCTTGTTTGGGTTGCGGACTCCTAAAGCAGCAAGACTTCGATAGGATATCATCAGAAAGAAGCACTTATTGCAGTGGCTGGCATGAACATCATGAACCAAAAACGTATTTATGAGAGCGGTTCAAAACGAGAAGACTAACCAAGGCAGGAAGTTGCAGAAAAGACTTGTGAGCGAATGTGCGAGTCCTTTCGAACAGCTCTGGCTGAAGGTGCCCAGCTGTGGGGATGACATGTGAGTGGATGTTGGGATCCCTGTTTTCTTTTCAGTTTGTGGTTTTTAAGTCGTTGGGTGGGAGGAATAGGCTGGTAAGAGGAGGTAAGCGACGTAAGTAGGTGATTTTCTTGCTGAAATAGCTACTAGCTAAGAGGTACGTAGCTACTAGGCCCTTGGACGCAGAAGGGCTCAGGGCTCAGGCTTATTGATTTGGCTGCTAGATTTTTTGGAAAACTCAACTTCCCTGTTGGGGGGTAGGCAAACAAGTAAGCTTCAATAAGTAGCTACCAAGTAGGCCGCAACTAACGCTTGGACGTACTGTATGCTCAGGCGTTTTCTTTGGACTAACTGTATGTGCTTTTTGCTACGAGCTGGAGCATCCTACTTTGACCACTATTCAATTGGATTGAACAGCAAGCAGATCCGCCTGTGCCCACCCCAGCATTCCCTTCTCCTCCTTCCCTTTTAGCCAGCAATGCCTGGAGCACTGCGCTGCTGCAGGTCGCCACCTTTGCCAATCCAAAACCAAACGACACCCCACCCGGTCCAGCTTTCAGCTAAGCCAAACCCAACCCATCCAGCCTTCAACCAAGCCAAGGCAGAACCAACCCAAAAACAAAACAGGTCTTGCCAGGACATGACACCTCGCCTACCTACACAGGGGCACGTTTTGACTTTGATCAAATCCCTGGACGTTCCACACTCAGGTTCTTTGAAGAACCCCTCGCGCGATTGATTGGGTTCCTAGATGTTCATTGGAACTGCACGACTGCCCAGGCCAAGAAGCAAAAGTCCAAGGATTGCTGAAGTTTGCACAAACCTTCGATGCAGCCTGCGTAGGAGCCAAAGGCACCTCTGAGATCGAGCAAAAGCTCAAGGAGATTCTGCAAGCATGCAATCATTCCCAAGAGTCAGGATGACTAGGCTTCAAGATTGTGTCAAAGGTTGATGCAAAAGGCTGCAAATCATTGGTCCCCCAAAGATCGAGATGTTAGCTCGACCTCTCCAATGTCAAGTTCCCAGTCAAATCGAGTTTTCAAACGTCCGATATAGATTGAAAGCAAAGGAGCAAAGAATGTGTGTGTGTGTGCTATTCAACGATTTAAACGGTTTGCTGGTTTGCTTGTTAGCCCCACCAGGGCTGGCTGTTCCATGGTAGGAGATTCAAGCAGAGGCTGTAGAGGCAGCGGCAGAGACTGCAGAGGCAGCGCCAGAGGTGCCAGAATCACCAGAGGTGCCCGAGGCGCCAGAGGTGCCCGAGGCGCCGGAGGTGCCGGAGGCAGCGGACATAGGGGTGCCATGAATAAACGCATGAAGAAATCATCACAGAACCCTGCAGTGACGAGCTTCAAGAATTGCATGTCCATGCTGAAGTAAGTTTGTGCATCGTCTTCACTTTTTTCAATCACAGCTTGGAGTATTCCATACCCGGTTGCGCAAACAGTGTCAGTCCTACCATATGTCGGTTTGGGGGAAGCAAAGACTCGGCGAGCCACAGACATCCACACTGGATATCACGGGATGCAAGCCTTGGAGGCAGAAGCTGAGTCAGAAGAGCACACAACTGCTGCTCCGAAAATTTCTGAGATGGAGGAGATGCTGTCGCAGGCATCCGCTACAGGGGGGTTTGCAATCTTGCACCTGACAGGTGTTTGACTTTTGTTGGCTGGGGGAGTGGCTGGGGCACCTGAAAGTGACATATTGTACTTATGTAGATTTCCGCAAGACGTCAACAAGACCACACTGATTCTGCAACAGCCAGATTCACCGAAAACCATGAACTCCGCTTGCCTTGCAAGTCGCTGCAAGTCAAGCAAGTGAATTCAACTGAATTCAAACATGGGTTGCTTGTTTGGATGGTGTTCATTTGCCCCACAAGGGCCTTGTGCAGGAAAGTGGGATGAACCCAAATGTCATCCTGAAGAATCTGACCGACGCTTGACCGAACAGCGTCATTGCGTCACGGAGGTCATCATTGACGGTGTCTCAAATCGGCGGACACGATGTCAGGTAGTCACAGATAGTCAGGTAGTTGGTGCTGAATGGTTTTTCGGCTTTGTGGATACCGTGTATCATGTGATCCCACCACGAAGTCTTCATTCTTCTGTAGGAAACAAAGTGTTCGTCAGCGGAAATCCTCCTCGTCCTTGCGAAAATCGTGAGGAGCTTGTGCCCTTGTGGCCTTCCATTCCTGAGCTCGCAGACCGTCTCAAAGCTGTTTTGGAAACTCTGCAGCAGCGCATGGCCACGGCCTGTGCCACTGCGAGTTCTGAGGATCAGGAGGCCAAGCTAAAGGCGCACGATGGAGACAACTCTCAAGAAACAAAAAGATATTTGGGGATGTTGCACTTGTTGCACCGTTGGTGATTCTCGACCCAAAGACGTGCCGTCTTTGAACTCTACCACTGTTTGCCGGGAGCCTTTGGGAGCCTTCGGAGCCTTCCCCTCATGTTTGGATGGAGTGAGAACATGGCACTGACACAGTTTGCGGGTGAATCGATTAGATCACAGGATCTCTTCATTCCAGCCCTGGTTTGGTGTTGAGAACGCACTCTACTGACATGTGTCAGTGCTGCTGGCAATAAGGGTTTGCTTGTAGGAATGCTTCCTTTTTTGCCCTTCGCATCCAATCTTTGCAAAGTTGAGACCAATCAAGAAGCCGATCCGGCAGGCTTTGCTGGCATTTGGCCACAAAGTCCATGAGCTGCAACATAGCATGGATGACTGTGCCCCTGAATTCTTCTTTGCAGTGTGCTCTGCCGGTGCAAATCAGGAGAGGTTGCGAGTGTTGTCACCTTCAGCCTCAGCTGACATATTGTTCATCGTGTCCGAAGGCGTCCATTTCAGACAGAGATGATTTGCATGCAACCCGGTTGAGTTCCAGCAATGCGGCTTCGCCGAGAAACCCGCATATGCCACACTGAGATTGTTGTTGGAACGTTAGTGTGTTGAGCTGGCTTGCGAGGACCTCACAGATGCCGAGAATGAGCTTGGCAAGGACCCGAAAGTGCCAACAGTTTGGCAACAACATATTGGGCAGCAGTTTTCTGGCCGACTCATGCACTTGTATGCCTTTGTTTCTTCGCTAAAGCAGTGTGCCACACATTGCCGCGCAAGTTCCTGTGCCTTTCTAGGAGTTTGTTCAATTATCCTGTGAGTGGATGTGGTCGCATGTGCTACTACGCGTGGTTGGTCACAAACTTGGTCCAAATGTTCGCCAGGAAAGTGGAATGAACCCGGTGAAGGTGCTGACGAATATCAGAAGCTCAGCTGCTACAGTATTTAAACCGGGAGGTATGCCACTAAGAGGTGATGAGCTAACAAGCAAGTAGCTATAGGCGCCAGGGCCAGGCTTCTTCAAGAAAGCGCCCCCGCTGAGGGCAGGGGGATCTTCCTTGGTTCCTACTTGTAGTGGTCTTTTTTGTGAAACTTAGATGTTATGTACTAGGAGCAAGAAGCTACTAGTAACAAGGACATCGCTACTAGGAGCAAGGACGCTACTAGGGGCTCCTGGCCTTACTACTAGGAGCAATGAGCTACTAGTAACACCTTTCGGAAAGTCATGGATTTCCTACTTTGAATCCTTACCGGTGCCATTCCCCACCAAGAGTCCCGTCCAGCACCGCGCAGGAAATTTGAAGCTCTATTGGCAGGCCTTGGGAAGCAATGCCGAAGCATTACATCAACGACTTGGTGCTATGTGCTCCCTGGCTGGAGCTCAGAGCAGCTTGTGTTTTTACAACTGCTTTGCTATCGCTCAGTAATTTGCCATGAACAGCATGTTAAATAAGTAACATAAATAATCACATGCAATAAATAGATATAGATAGTATATTATATAAATAAGTGTAATCAAAATAGCCTTAAATAATAACAATATCAATAATATGCAATGATAAACATGCCAATAGCTCGACGCCATTGAAGCCAAGGGCCATGCGCCGAACTGTGTGGTTTTGCGAAGCGTAATCCAGGTGACCTGATGCGGTCTCGTATTATGACCTCCTACGAAGAGAATCCCGAAAAGCGGCCCAACCTCGTGAAGTTCTCAGCTGCCTTCGACACAGTTGCTGGGACAAAGAACTTAGTTGTGGGTGCAGTAGCCAGAAATGTGTACGCCAGGAGGTTCTCGTCGTAGGCTATGGTGTTCCACCTGACAGTTCACTAGCTAAGGCCATCAATGGCTTGGCTGGAGCAGGCGAAGCAGATTTGACGGCACGACTGAAAGAAATGGGTGAATGAAGGCACAAGTGCCTGATCTCATGCCAGTCAGAGCCGTTCCGTGAGCCTTTTCTTTGGCATTTCCTCCTCAAGGAGAAGTGCAAAATCCAAGATGCTGTCATAGTCAGAAGTCAGAAGATTGTGTCCAGCTGCGGCTGAAAGCGGCAGCATTTTCCGCATCTCACTTGATTGGCTTTGACCAGCGTCTTCGATGTGTGAAAAAGAGCAAGTGGACTGGGTGAGGCTTCAAAACCCACCGCTCAAGTTGCTTTTCAGTTCTTCAGGATGTAAGCTCTAGGCGGCTGGAGATGTTGGACCATCCACGAACGAATTGGTGGTGCCTGGAGAAGTTCACATGTCCTTGGGTCGTCGTCGACGTTGTTTTTCTTTAAGTTACTAGGAACAAGGACGCTACCAAGAGCAAAGGGCATTTCTACTAGGAACAAGGACGCTATGTGTGGCTCCTGGCATCGCTACTAGGAGCAAGACGCTACCAGAGACACCCACCATACCATGGCATCCATGGCACTGTCTCGTCCGTAGACAAAGAGCTCTCTACTCCCAAGCTAGGCTAAATGTGGCCACTTCTATCTGGCTGGAGGTGCGTTTGCGCCGACCTGATTATGAGCATGACGCTGGCTGGGTCCAGGGCCAGGCGCTGGGTCGAGGTTGCAGTGGTGTTTTAATATGTTTTAATGCACTTCACATGGTGCACTACACCCAATCACTCCATGTACTTTTGAACAGATGTGGGTGGTGATTTTGTGCAGAGGCTGTCTGCAGTGTGACTCAGAGTAGCATGTTTCTTTTCGGGCGAGCATTGCAAGAACTCAGACACACTCATGGCCAAAGGTAGACTGCTCAGACACATCAACTAGCACTCAGCCGCCAGCCCGTCAGGTTTCCACGTTCCTAGTTGTTCAAAACTCATCCAATCATTGGCCAGAGGCGTTGTCTTGAAACGGAAGCATCATATTCCTTCTCGCAGTGGGAGCCCTTGCAAGACAGACACTGTTTGCAAAGTTGAAAAGCTCACCACCCTGACCGCCATGGACACGGAAAGCCAGCTGCGACGCTTGCGTAAAAGTGTCGAGGAGCAAAGCCAAGAGTTGGCAAGGCAGGAAACCACAGGTGTTGGCAAGTGCAGGAGCTTCAATCTGCTCAAAAGAGGTGGTGATTACCCCGGTCGCAGCCTGCCTCGAAGCTCCCATGTCTTTTTCAGATGCGGTCCCATCACTTGTACCAAATATAAACGAAGCAATATCCATTACCAATATTGCTATGGCGCATTGAAAAAGCCAGCACCATGACCAGCTTGAAGGCTTTTGTCGGAGCTGGGTCAGCAAAGCCGTGTGGTGAAGCTTTTGGATGAGACCTTACAGCAGACTTCGCAGCAGACCATCACTTTGGAGCACCGGCTCTCCAGTTCCTTGGTGGAAATGTATTTTTTTGGGGGGTAGGCTGAGAAGAGGTAGGTTAGGGTAGCTAGTAGAAGCTAGATAGCTAGTAGCTTACTTAAGCTACTACCTACTGGACGCAGGATAGCTTACGCTCGAACTGTTCGTTTGGTTCCTAGATTGTTAGGGAAACTGAACCTTCAAAGACTGTTTGGTTCAGATCACTCTTGTCCTAGATCGACCAAGCTGGGCCCTCAAAGATGCCTTCGGCACGGTTCCCAATCCTAATTGAGCGGGTAACTCTGGAAACAAGAGTCTTGATGTGAGTGAGCTGCATTGATTCCATTTGATTCCTCTATTTGTGAGCCCAACTCCATTTGGTTTGAGAAGGAAAAGTATCGACAAGTTGGATAGTTCGAAGGCCGGCCCAATCCAAATCCTGTTTTTTGCAGACTTCTGGGCTTTCAAGAGCTTGAGGCCGGCTAAAAGGGAACAGCTCCTCCAACCTACTAGCGATGGCCTGCCTCCAGCCTAGAAGCGATGACCTCCAACCTAATGTGGCTCCTCTACACCTTAAAAGTCCGACCAAGATCTAGGAACCAAATGAATCGCGGAGCGCTTCTTCAAGAAAGCTCCCCTAAAGGCGGCGGGGGGGAGCTTCTTTGAAGAAGCGTGAGCTATCCTCCAGTAGCTAGTAGCTTGGGCCCTGCTCCTTACTGAATTCAGCAGGCGCCTACTTAATTGAGTAAGGGTGACGGCACCTCGGGCTAAAAATAAGGCCAAAAAGAAGCTACTAGAAGCTCCTGGCCTTACTACTAGGAGCAAGAAGCTACTAGGGGCTCCTGGCCTTACTACTAGGAGCAAGGACGCTACTAGGGGCTCGAAGTAATATTGAGCAACTCAGAGTAGAACCACCGAAGTTCAAAACGGCCAGACCTGGAGCACGAGCGCGAGACCAGCAGCCGCTCGACGCGGAGCGCCTTTGAATCGCTGGGCGCCCGCGTCACTGAGCTTGGTGGGCGGCCCAGCGGTGGGCGAGACTGGAGTCGCTTGGGACAGGCAAAATGAATGCCAAATGGTCTCAACTTCTCAAATTCATGCCCACGAGACACATGTTTCTCATTCCATGTATTGCCATGTGATAATGTGATAGTTCAGTGATTATTGCGGGTTGAATTATGGCAAAGGCATGATGTGTAGACGAGAGCAGCATGGGCTCAGATGTGGTGCTGCATGTACCCCATGCAGACGAAACTTTCTTTGTGTTTGTGACCTTTCCAGAGAGTAGATCAAGTTGTAGAACGGGCTGGATGTGCTTGACTGAATCCCGAAAAAGGAAGTCTACTTTTGAAGAAATCCTGGCGCTGGCTGGTAGGAGTTGAAGTTGCAGAGTTGCCCACCGCACGAGAGATGCAGGCAATCTGGGCCCAAAGATAAGACGCTAAAGCACTTTTGCGATGTGATTATCCATGTGCAGTCCCAGATTCCAGGCTATTTAGATAGATCTAGTTGAAGGCCAGTCATGCAAGACACCGTCGCCGAGGGTGGTAATTAATGGAATGAACATGAATGAACATGTGTAATTATTGACAAGTGTATTTGTGTGTTTCAAAGCCCAAGACCAGACCTATCACAGCTGCTCCAGCCGACCTCGTTTCAAATCTGCATAGGCCAGCTGGCAGCAGCTTGCGCAATCCGTGGAAACCTCTGAAAGGGTGTTGCGCGCAGAGCAGCAGGAGGCGTTGCAATCCTTGAGCTGCCGATTGGAGGCAAGCTGCAGAGTAGGAGCTTTGAGGGGCTTGCAAAGAGAAGGGATTGAAGTGGCGGGCTGCACTAACTTTAGTGGAAGCTGCAACGAAACCAGTGGTTGGCATGCAAACGAAAAGGTGTGAAAAGAGAGGAGATTTTGCAAGATTCATGTCAGACCTCATAATTTGCAGCAGCAAAAGGAACTTGAACAGCATGGAATCTGTTCTGGAGATGGAGATAAAACTGAAGTGATGTGTTCATGATGCTGTGTTTTGTGGTGCTAGGGTTGACGGTTTGGATGTTGGTGTTGCCAAAAACAGAGGGATAGGAGGACCTTTTCTGGGATCGAGAAGTTTGGACTGGAACCGGAATCATGGGGTTTGCAACAAACGAGACCTGTGAAGACTTGTTCTTTGGCTGTTTCAATTTTTGGAAAGAAAGCTCACCCTGAGACATCCTTCCTGCCCAGGGAACCTTGGCGGGCCTACGTCAGGACATGGCTCTGACCACCTTCCACTTTGCACGACTACAATCTAATATACGCGCGATGCATATTATATATCATAATCATATATTATATAGTATATATATATACTTGTACGTGTGAGTACTAAAACAACAGCACGCTGGCCCGGCACTTCTTCACAGGACTCCGATCATTGCCGTCAAGATGTGACGTCCTTGCAAATGCTGGGCGCACCCGGATGGGGGGTGGAGATGTTTGGTTCCTTGCATGATTGCTTGATTCAGATGGGGGTTCTGGTTGGTGGGCTACCACGGTTACCCAGACACCAGACCTGCAGAATGCTGCACTGAGTTGCTTGAGGCAAATCTTGGAAGATCTAGCTGAACAGCAGAGACAGGCGAGGTTTGGGTCGGCCTTTCCAACTCCGAAGTGTCCATTCTTGGGAAGGAGCAAGGACGCTACTAGGGGCTCCTGGCCTTACTGCTAGGAGCAAGGACGCTATTAGGGACTCTCTTGACTCTTGCGGAGCAAAGGCCTCCACTTCAGATGAGGGAACCAGGTGGAGAAGACCAAGTGATGCCCCCGTCGGGGTCTCTGGTCACGATGCCCTTTGCTCCTAGTAGCTTCTTGCTCCTAATAGCGATGCCAGGAGCTACTAGTAGC